TCCTTAAAAATTGCGATTGAGTTAATGAAGTCAAATATAGCTAATGAAGAAACCTAAAATCTTGTCCTCGTGAAACAAGATATAACCTAATCTTTATTCAGGTATTTTAATTTACATTGTTTTACTCCTGATCCTCTGAGTGAGATTTAACCTATACAGAGTTGTACGCAACATATTTCTTTTATTGTAATTTAACCTATACCATACTTGCATATCAATTCGACTCCTCTGAAACATGTTTTAGAGAAAAAAGGCAACCGCTGGGACAAAAAGTGACAATTTTTGTGGGGTAAATAGTGACAAGCTTATCTAGAATAAGAGGTTAAGTTAATCTATTTTTGAAGAATCTAATGAACAGTTTTAGTCCCATGCTAGGTAGTATGATGTCCAAACTTCAGACAATACTGACATAAACTATTTTGTTTGAATCATTTTCACAATGGTTAGAAATTATAAAAAGAAAACAAACAGAGAAACTGCCATTCCCAGTGAACTTGCAGCTGCAGTAAAACTGGTTCGTGATGGATGGTCTATCAGAGCAGCTGCCCGACAGAAAGGACTTAATAGGCAGACACTATGGAAAACAGTTCATCGCACTACAAACTTGGAAAATTTGGACGAGAACTCCAATTATTTTCAACTAAGCTGTGGAAGAAAATCCATCTTCCCTAAAAAGTTAGAAGATGAAATTGCTGAATATTGTATTAATATATCTAGAATGGGATTTGGTTTAAGTGTAAATAAAGTTAGGGAATTGGCACATGAGACAGCTATTAAAAATAATCTTCAAATACCAGAAAACTGGAAAATCAGTAAAATGGCTGGTATTGATTGGTTTCAAGGTAAAATATATCTCACTGAGTTAATTTGTCGCTATTCAAATATTAATTTTTTTATGATTAATTCAAACTATTTATTTATTTAAAGGTTTCAAAATACGACATACAAATATATCAATTCGAGTTCCAGAAGGCTGTAGCATTGCTCGTGCTTCAGCATTTAATAAGAAAAATCCCAGCAAACACGGATATATAACTGTAATATTATCTTAATAAAATGAAATGTAACATGCAATATAACACAGATGTAGTAGGTTATATTAACGTTACTAGTAATTTCCTACTTATAGAAATTACAGTTATATAACGTTAATGTTACATGTATATAACATGTAGGTAACATGTTACATAACCTTCAAAAAGTAACCGAATACTTATATAACTGTTATAAAACTTATAAAATTGTTATATAACCTTAATATTTCTTGTTATTGAATAGTTACGTATGAAGAAAGGACGGATTGGACAGTCATCTCTTCTAAAAATTAGTCTAAAATATAAAAAAAATGAAAATTGGACAAAGTATGAATTGTAATAGATACAAATTTTAAAAAATTCACATTCAGAAAAGTCATAGTTAAGAGTGTTGTTTATTATAACAGAACTTCTTTTCGATGAAAGTATACAAATTTTGATATTTTTCTCAATTTGAAATAAATGAAAAATTTAAAACTAAAAAGAAGTGTAACAATTTGTATTTTCATCGCGAAAACAAGTTCTATTAAAATGAACTTTAAACTATAATTTCGTGAATTTCTTACAATCTGATGTATATTACAATTTATATTGTATCCAATTTTAATTACTAATGTTTTAGACTAACTTTTGAAAGAGATGAGATGTCCATTTTTTTTTAAATTTATATTAAAAATTTGAATAATTCAATATTTGTATGTGTTACAAACGTGAATACCATAAATATCAAATTATTTCAACAATTTCAAATAAAAGTTATAAAAATTTAATTTTTAATTACAATTAATTAAACAATTGGATATCCGTAATATTCATATTTGTAACAAATATGCAAGACAAAATTTTTATCATAAAACTATTTTATTCAATTGGATAGAATAAACATACTTGAAATTTAAAGTATTCGTAATAGTTATTAACAGTCAATTAGAAAGTAATTTTATTAAAAGTACATTTACTTTTATATAAACTAATTTTATTAAATTTTAAAAATATATGTTCTCGTAAATATATATTTCTTTTTATTACAAATAACAAACATATATTTTTAAATATATTGTGACGCTTCTTTCGAAGCGCCGACAAACCGCCGTCGGTCCGTGCGCCGCGGTCTTACACCAACCGAATGTTGGGCGCCAGGTGCAGCGGGCTGCACCACTCACCAACGCGAAGATTTCCCCGTGGCGCGCGAATCCGTCGGGTCCGGTAGCTCGTGATAAGTTTGAGTCGGCAGATGGGAAGGGTTCGTCGGAAATCAGGAGGCGGAACGCACTAAGAAGAAGATTCAAAATGGCCGATTTGGCGAAATTGGAATTTATTCGATAACACCGGGAGACAATACGAGGGTAATTTGATAAGTCAGTGACTTTTTTAATAAAAGATATTTTTTTCGGGAAATAAGCGTTTTATTTCTCAACGTAGTCTCCTTTTAGCTCGATATATTTAGTCCACCGTTTTTCCAATTTTTTTATTCCTTCCAAATAATAGGTTTTCTCAAGGCCCTCAAAATATGCGTTTGTTTCAGTGATGACCTCTTCATTCGACCCAAATCTCTTACCGCCCAGCCATTTCTACAGGTTTGGAAACAGGAAATAGTCGCATGGGGCTAAATCTGGTGAATATGCTGCATGGGGTAGCAGTTCGTAGCCCAATTTATGGATTTTTGCCATGGTGACTACACACGTGTGCACCCGTGCATTGTCCTGATGGAACAGCACTTTTTCTTCGCCAAATGCGGTTGTTTTTGCTTCAAATCAATATCGAATCTGTCCAAAAGCTCTGAATAATATTCGCCGGTGATCGTTTTACCCTTTTCAAGGTAATCGATGTGAATGATACCGCGTGCATCCCAAAAAACTGTGGCCAGACCTTGTTGGCCGATAGACCCACCTTGGTCTTCTTTGGTGCACGTTCACCCAAAGAAACCCACTGTCTTGATTGTTCCTTGGTCTCTGGTGTGGTGTGATGGATCCATGTTTCGTCTACGGTAACGAAACGGCGCAAAAACTCGTTCGGATTGCGGCTGAATATCGCCAAACACTCCTTTGAAATGGTCACACGGTTGCGCTTATGGTCGAGTGTGAGCAATTGCGGCATCCATCGCGCGGATAGCTTTTTCATGTCCAAATATTCATGTAAAATGTGATGTACCCGCTCAGTTGAGATACCTACAGTCTCAGCCACTTCACGCACTTTCATTCTCCGATCGTCCAATATCATTCCATGGATTTTATCGACGATTTCTGGTGTGACGACCTCTTTTGGGCGACCTGAACGTTCAGCGTCACTTGTGCTGGTACGACCACAACGGAACTCAGTAAACCACTTCTTAACCATTGAAATTGATGGTGCAGAGTCCCCATGGTATTTATCAAGCTTTGCCTTGGTTTCGGTGATGGTTTTTTTACGCAAAAAATAATGCTTAATCAGCACACGAAATTCACTTTCTTCCATTTTCGTTAAAATTCACGAGGTTGTCTGCTTTCAATGGCTGTCAAACACTAACTAAATGGCGCAGCTTGCCCAAACTTGTACAGTAGTCTATTAATAGATGACAGTTGATGGGAGCAGTGCTGCATTTAAAGTTACTGCGCGAAAAATTCAAAAAGTCACTGACTTATCAAACTGCCCTCGTAACCTCCCGCTTCTCGCGATACGGTACACGTGAATTCCTTTCCGGTCGCTCCTACGCGAGGTCGATACCGCTCTTCGTATACAAGGCGTTTTCGCGGAACGCGACACTTAACGGAACACCGGAAAAACAAATGGCAGGTGGACGGTCTTACAGTGACGGGAACCTCCCGGCTGCGTGGTCCTCGATGGTCGACGGGTCGGTCGGTCCGGTCGCGCGTCCAGCGGCAGCTTGGTCCTCTTCGGGATCTTGGCCTTTGATAATGCACAGCACTCCTCCCCTCTCCGGTAGCGGTCGGAACACCCACTCTCCTCTCCTTCGCACGCGGAATACCAAATCTTATTTCTCTCTTTAGAGCGGTACACAAAGCGTTTTATCTTACGAGCGGTAATTCGAATCTTATCGGTTCGAGGCCAAAAGCGAATCTGTCTCCTTTTCGCGAGGCGAAAAATTCAATTCCTCATGGAGAGAGAACAACGAGTCTTCTCGTCTCTCGTTTTTTCTGTTGTTCCTTTTTTTCCGATCGGGAATCCTTCCGCGAATTCTGTTGACAATCCGCGGAACGGATGCCCTGTCTCGCTCGCTCTCTCTCTGTCTCTCGCTCTCTCTCTCTCTCGCTCTTTGTCCGTCTAGCCGTTGTTTTCGGCTAGCGACCCATGCGTCAAGAACGTGCTCGACGGTACCTTGCTGCCTCGTCCGCGTTGTCGTGGTAGCCTGAGCTGAGCTGTAATAATACACGGCAGCGGTAATCTTTGCGGGATAACGATAAATTTTCTGCGACGAGACGAGAAAAGAAAGCAATCACCTGAGCTGGCCGCGCCGGGCGGGGAGCGACATCCTCTGCATCCTCCCTGGTCTTCCTGTCCGGGTGTCGGCTCGGGAGGTCCATGGGCACAAATCTTGGGGACGCGAGACCGTTGCACCTGCACGCTCTTAATTCTTAGGTCTAATTGCTTTCGGGGGGGGGGGGCACAATTCGGCTTCCCCCCCGCAAATCTCGCGTAAAGACCGAGGATTTGCCTTGTGACGGGCGCCTCCACGGCCGCCACGTTACAATATGTAACATATATTATAGAAAAAAGAAGCAACGTTTCTGTACAAACTGTAAATAAAGACGAAAATAAAATTTGGAAACGTTGTAATGAAATCGACATTACACATTAAAATAAAAACGAAAAAAATGCCTGAAAACGTACATTACAATAAACTCACAAAAACTGAAAAAAAGCATCTGAGAACATACGTTATAATAAAATCACAAAAAGAAGATATTGAAATAATAATTATGATTGAAAAATGATAAAAACTGATAATATTTTAATAGAACTTCATCTATTTTAAACGTATTAATTATTTTCGTCAGTCATTTGTTCAGGTCCGGCGGGTTTTCCTTTCTCTTCTCTCTGTTTTCTTTGTTTGGCAAAACGCAGCCATTCCGCCACTATATTATCAAATCCAGCCTCTGTTAAAGTAGAATGTTGTAAAGTAATTTCTCCTAGAAAAAAATTAATGTGTTAGTATTGCGACGTGATTTTCGCTCGCCGTCGGCAAACGGCCGTCGGCCCACGCGTCTCGGCCGTTCACACTCTCACAAAAGTGGTTGGGCGCCAGGTGCAGCGGGCTGCACCGATCACCAACGCGAAACGGAACACCACCAAAGGGCCGAGACACGCGAATTCGACGGGACCGGTAGCTCCTCGGTATTTTAAGTCGGTAGACAGGAGGGTTCGATCGGGAATCCGGGACGCAGTCGGGAAAACACAAGAATAGTAATGCGCGTTTTGATTATCTCACTTTTTATTCTCTCGGGAATCGGAACGGTCCGACTCCTCGATATGGTAAATTTCGCTGTGTGCTCTCGCGAATTCGAACTTTGCTCTTCGCCGACAACCAAAACGAGACACTGTACGCACGCGATACCGAAACAATAAAGCAGGTGGACGGTCTTACACTTCGGGAACCTCCCTGCGGCGTGGTCCTTCGCTTTCCTTCTTCCTCCACTCCCTCGGGCGCAACGCAGCCATCGATGGTCCCTCCTTGGGCGAGGAGAACACCAAAAAAACCTTTTCTCCCGCTAACTTCAAAACGACTCTTTTCCGCAACGATAGGCGATAAGCAATCCGCAATGCTCGGAAACAGCCCGGCGATATCAGAGAGAGCGAAAACGGCAGTCCCCTCTTTTATCTCCTTCCACAGAAATGTTTTCTCATTCTCTTCTGTTGTGTCGTGCTACCCGTCTCTCCCCGTTCCTCGTTACCTCACCCAATACGGGAATCCTTCCGCGGATCTCTGTTTTCGATCCGCGGGACGGGTGCTCGGTCTCGTTTTGGCGCGTGCTCTCTCTCTCACTCCCGCGGTCTCCGCCTAGGCCGGCTTTGTCTAGACGGCGATCACGCCCGAGCACGGGAGCATCGACAGCTTCTCCGGATATTCCTGTAGGCCTGGGGACACGGGAACGGCAGCGAGAATCTCTTAAGGCGATACGGGAATCGGTAATATTACTCATAAGGGGGAGCATTCACCTGAGGTGGCGGTCTTGTCGAGGGGTGTCGTCCTCTTCCTTCCTCTGGTCCCTCCGGTCCTGATGGGCGGCACAGGAGGTCCAGGGGCACAGAGCTCGGGGACGCGGGGCCGTTCCATCTGCACGCTCCTATTACTAACACTAATTAATACGGGGGCGCAATGAAGCTCCCCCCCCGCAATTCTTGCGCGATGTACTGTCCGTCCCCCCCGCAAACCTCGCGTAAGGACCGAGGGTTCGCACTGGGACTGGCGCCTTCCCGGCTGCCACGTCACAGTATATATAAAATAGTATTGGAATAATTTTTGGTTAACGGATGCTTTTAATAACATGTAAAACATACTTCTCATTATTTTAATGAAATATTTGGTGAGTGCAAAAGTTCGTGCGGAGTTTCAATAGATGGAGTTATAAGCGTCGTAAAGTGTTGTCATTAATACTTCCATCTACATATTATATAACGTTGGAAAGGTGACGTCTTCAGCTGTTATTAAAAAAAAATCATTTGTTTTCATACAAACTGCTTCGAGAAATATCACTTTAAAAATGAGTATCGATAAGGTGCATTTACGGCATGTTATGCTTTACGAATTTCGGAAGGGAATAAACGTTGCCGCAGCCGTAAAAAACATTCAGGATGTTTATCAGGATGAAGCACCAGCTAAACGAACTGTGGAAAAATGGTTTGCTAAATTTCGACGCGGAGAATTTAACCTTGAAGACGAGCCACGCTCTGGTCGACCTTCTGACATTGATGACGATGTTTTGCGTACTTTAGTGCTCAATAATCCGCGAATTTCAACAGAAGAAGTTGCTACAGCACTAAACGTTGACCAATCAACCGCTTTTCGGCGTTTAAAAAAGATGGGATTCGATTTGAAGCTCGATATATGGGTGTCCCATTTGCTGACCGAGAAGAACAAAATCAAGCGAATTTCTGCAGCCGTTTCTTTACTCGGGCGGCTCAATAACGAGTCGTTTTTGGATCGACTAGTGACGGGCGATGAGAAATGGGTCCTCTACAACAATGTTCAGCGCAAACGGACATGGAAACAATCAGGTGAGCATGGTGACGCAATGCCAAAGGCCAGTTTGCACCCGATGAAGGTGATGCTCTCTGTTTGGTGGGATTGCAAGGGCATAATCTATTTCGAGCTTCTCCCCGCTGGCGAAACGATTGATTCGGACAAGTACTGTCGCCAATTAACCAATCTGAATCGAGAAATAAAAGAGAAACGTCCAATTTTGTCAAATCGCAAGGGAGTCGTCTTTCATCATGACAACGCCAGACCGCACGTTTCGAAAAAGACGCTGCGCAAACTGAAGAGCCTGAAATGGGATGTCTTAACGCATCCACCGTATTCTCCTGATATCGCACCATCTGACTATCACTTGTTCCGGTCATTGCAAAATTATTTAAATGGAAAAAACTTTGACTCTTTGGAGGCCTTAAAAAACGGCGTCTCTTCGTTCTTCGAATCTAAACCGCGCAGTTTTTATGATCGAGGCATCCGTATGCTGCCAGAACGTTGGGAAAAGATTATAGAAAACGATGGAGAATATATCATTGATTGAATAAAGATTTTTGTTTGCCTAATCATTGTGTGACTTTTACTCACAAACTCCGCACGAACTTTTGTACTCACCCAATATAAATCGGAGACTTTAAAATTATTACGAATGCCTTTCCACGAACAATTAAGAGCGCAATCGTTTGTGAATAGTTTTGACAGAGTGCGATGAATATTATCCCGAGGATTAATTCCTCCTATTTTGAACAGAAAGTCTTTCTATAAACAGAAATAAACAATTAGACAATTTAATATTTTATTATGGCAACACTTTATTTCAATGATAACACTGAAAAAAACCAATATGCAAGGATGTACACTAACAAATTTTAAAAATGTACACTAAAAAAGAGCAATTGCAAATAGCGAAGCAATAATACAGTATCGAAATAAAACTACTATTGAAATAATTTCAGGATTTAATATTTACATACACAAGGAAATTTATATGATATGAACGAATTAATGTAAAATTAATGTAAAAACTTACGAATTGTATTACTGCTTCATCAGTATCGTATAATAACGCTTCAAAGTCTCATATGCTTTCAATTGTTTGTAATGATAACATTTTTGCGATTATACTGTTCTTATCGCTGTTCCTTAAAACGGGAGTGCGAGTCGTCATTGCTTCTTTTGTTCTGCTTACTCGTTGTTTCAAATCTTGTAATATTAAATTCGACGTTGCTTGCATACGTAACATTTCTTTTAAATATTCTGCAATACAATAACTAATGTTACACCTGTTACTAAAGTAATAAAGTATGTTATAGATAAAATACAAAATAATGTTAGATATTTGTAATTCAAATTATATACGCACACACATATATAATAGCTGCTATTGAAGTAGTAACCAAAAGCAAAACTACTTTTACTGATATGTATCATTACTTTTCTTCAATGTATCTTTATATTGTTTTGTGCCTTTTAAAAATTTTACGAGGCACCGGATTCCATTAGGAGAATTATTCCAATTGATATCAGTGACGGAGTGTGTGAATTGTCAAAACATCTCTTATAAATTGCAAATATTCTCCTAAATGCCTAATCAGATTACGGATTGGAGATTGAAGACTGTGAATTGAAGGTTAAAATTAGATTAATTGGAATAAAATTAACCAAGATCGAAGTTCGTCGAAATCTAATGTTCAATCCAATTCTCAATCATCGATACATTATCTAATACGAGTATAATAGGATCTGATGACCTGTAAAATTTTAAAGAAGCATACGACATAGTATCAGGTGTAGTAAAAAGAAATCCATTATTTTTCCAATAGATGGATTTAGTTATCTGTATCTCGCGTTGTATAAGTCCGATCGGGTTCCACTAGATGGCGTTAGAAAGATGAGATTTCGTACTAAAAAAACTTTTGTGACAGTTTTGTGATTAGTTGACTCAGTTTTGTTTGAGCGCGCATCAAAGATGGACACTAGCAAAGAGAAAATACGTTATATTTTACAGTTTTTCTTCGATAAAGGCGAAAACGCAAGCCAGGCGGCTGAAAATGTGAATAGTGTTTATGGTCCTGATACTGTAACAGCCAATCACGCGCAATTCTGGTTTCGTCGATTCCGTTCCTGTAATTTCAATGTCAAAGAAGCACCACGCACTGGAAGGCCAATTGTCGAAAATATCGATAAAATCATGGACATTGTCGAGTCCAACCGTCATGTAAGCACTGTTTCGATTGCCCAAGAGCTAAAGATTGCCCAAAAAACCGTTTGGAACCATTTGAATAAGGCTGGATACAAAAAGAAGCTCGATGTATGGGTGCAACACGAGTTAACGAAAAAAAACCTCATGGACCGAATTTCCATCTGCGAATCGCTGCTGAATCGCAACAAAATCGACCCATTTCTGAAGCGGTTGGTCGCTGGTGATGAAAAGTGGATCACTTACGACAACGTTAAGCGAAAACGGTCGTGGTCGAATCGTGGTGAGCCGGCGGAAACGGTGGCCAAGCCAGGATTGACGGCCAGGAAGGTTTTGCTGTGTGTTTGGTGGGATTATGTACTATGAGCTGCTCCCATACGGCAACACTTTTAACTCGGAACTGTACTGTCAACAATTGGGCCGTCTGAAGGAAGGAATCGCCCAGAAGCGGCCAGCTTTGGCCAATAGGAGAGGAATTGTGTTCCATCAGGACAACGCCAGGCCACACACATCGATAGTAACTCGCCAGAAGCTCCGGGAGCTTGGTTGGGAGGTTCTTATGCATTCACCTTATAGTCCGGACCTGGCACCAAGTGATTACCATCTGTTCCTGTCCATGGCGAACAATTTTGCTGGTGAAAAATTCGCTTCAAGAGAGGCTTGTGAAAATCGACTGTCAATTTTTTGTCAATAGGGACGAGGGCTTCTATGAGAGAGACATAATGAAATTACCTTCAAAATGACAACAAGTTATCGAACAAAACGGCGCATATTTGACCTAAATCAGATCATTCTAACTATGGTAATTAAAGCCTTCAATTTCATGCAAAAATAATGGATTTCTTTTTACTACACCTAATATAAGAATGCATTGAAGACATGTTATGATATATATCAATAAAAGTAGTTTACTTTTTGGTACAATTTCAATAGCATCAGCAATGGCAAAAAGTTTGGACAAAAGGGACAATAAAAAATATTGAAACATCTTTCTTATTAATGGAATGACTCTTTTTTTAGGGACTTAGACTTATTTCCTAAAATTAAAGAACTCATCACAAGTGCACAGTTTTGTAATATACAAAAGATGTTTAAAGTAACAGGGCATTCCATCGCGGATATTAAAAAAAATACTGCGGTGATGGAATGCACTTACTCCCACAAACTTTGAACAAGTTGTGGAACATGATATTATATGGAAAAAATTTAATATTAAACATCATTTAAATAAAGTATTGCATTTTTTTATTTGTTGCTACTATTTCACTATTAACCATCGCGCGCGCGTACGCGTGTGTGTGTGTGTATGTGTACAGAGTATCTAGTAACTTGTGAAGCAGTCGCGATGTACAGATAGAACAAATAACGGTGTACAAATAGGTCAAAATCATTAGAAAAATTATATACCATTTTGTAATTTTCTCAATATTTACTCCGTAATTAATTAAAATATATAAGCAAATGAGTACATAGGAAGCGGTAGAATCAGCTCTGTGTGAAAGGAAATGGCTTATTTCTTAGCAACGATAAGTAACAGTTGATTTTTCGGTGCGCAACCGTGTTATATACTGCATGTCATTCTGTCTCGAAATCAAGTGTTACTCATCGTTACTAAGAGGTAAGCCAATTTTTGTGCACATAGAGCCCATTCTACCGCTTCCCGTGCGCTCATTCGTTTATATATCTTAATTAATTACAAAGTAAATATTGATAAAATTACAACATGGTGTGTAACTTTTCTGATTATTTTTATCCGTTCTACCTGTACACTGCGGCTGCTTGATGAGTTACGGAACACTCTGTACATTAATACATACTTTTTATATTTGGATCTTCTCTGCAGACGATGAAGCACACAATGAAGAACCTACAACGTTTAGACATATTAATGTTATACTGTTAAAACTTATTTTTATTGATTTCAACAATATGTACTTACTTTCCATTACTATAGGTATATCGTATGACTGTACATCGTCGGATGCTTCATAGGTTTTTATTTGTTCTGGAAATATATACAATATTATAATAATGAATATTACATATCACATTGATAATAACAGTACATACCATTATGACGTTGTGACGTTGAAATGTCGTTTCTATTATTATTCCTCACATTAATATCTTCATTAATATGATATTATACATATCACTGCATGTTAAGTCGCCCGGAAATGATGGAATGGCAGAAACTATTTTTCTTGTATTAATTGATCTCTCTGCACACAAAATATTATTTTATAAACAAGCGCCTATAATACTCGATAAACCAAATATGTAATTTCATTTTTATATTAATGTTGCAACAGCTCTCGTATAAATAAAACTAGATAGTTGTTCTCTAGGAATTGTTAACGTTTAGTAACATTTTGAAAGAATTATAGCTATTAATAAATACATATATAATATTTTAACTGGAGGGCTTTCACATTTAATTTTACTTAATATATTTGCATACGAATGAACTTGTGATAACAGTTAGACATTTTGTATATTAAGCATACTAAAGCATGCTGTTATATAATCTATATTCTTATTCTTATATGGTCGAAGTATATTGTTTTCTTTTTCCTCTTCTTCGCTGCTATATCGGTTCCGTTCTACATGTAGCCTTTTGCCAAGTCCCAATCTGTCTTCATCGGTTGTTTGATAATCGGAGTCAGCTGTACTTCTTCTTGCCGATTCTAGAGATGCTACAATAATGAAAAAATTAATATCTATTATTCCTTATGTGTATGCGCATGTATGTGAAGTATAATAATAAAAGCATTATAAAAAAATAAATTCAACCTTAGTGTATAAAGGCTATTAGTAACACCAAAATAAGACAAGCTATCAATACATGGACTTACTACAGGATTTTATAACATCACTTCATATTGATTCCAAGTTTCCAAACATGGACTTACGCAATTAGCTATAAAGTTAGCGGCATTTGTTGTCCGTGGCGGCCACAAGCACAGCTGCTTACTGCCATCGTGCATAAGCCATGATGTAGATATTTCGGAGTAAGAGTCATCTATAAGAAACTTTACAACGGAATATTTCTTACTTGTTCCAGTTTCGCAACGATCCATCTTTATTTTACCATATAATCTATAAAAGAAAGTAATATGTTACCATATATGAATTATTTCAATTTCAAATATTTATACTCTTAGATAGGAAAGTTGTCCGTTATTTATCGAATCGAGTTTGTGAACTTACCTGTTTTATCTAATGGAACTATTTTTCCATTAGAAAACAAGTTCTCTCATTAAACAAAACACAGTTCACAAATTCACCCTGAAAATGACGAACAACTTTTCTATTTACAAGTATACATCAATTGTATAGTGTATATCAATTATATTAGCGACTGTACTAGATTTAACATTAAGAAAAGTATATTGCTTTAATGTTAAAATTTGTACAATAAATATAATATTTCCTTCTTGCATTCAAAAAAAATTAAAATAAATTCTTTGTTAAAAAATAGTGATTTTATATTTTAATAATTTAATAATTTAATAATTTTAATAATTTAATAATTAACTGTCCAATCAAAATTATATTTTTTCATAATTTCAATTACATAAAGCAAATTGTTAAATTACAAAATTATATATTAATATGCCACCTTTGTAAATATTTTACTCACCTTATAAATGTTTGTTTTATTGAATGCGGATAATATTTTGACGTTTCCAAGTATGTAAGTATGTCAATATTTATTTATTCAAGACGAAGAAACACGTTGCAATGATTAATATTCATCATCATATTTTTTTTGGTTTGTTCAAATACTTTCTAATTGATAACAATGCAGAGTATCTAATTGTTAGTATGAAGTAGTGGTATTGTAATATAAGAATCAGGTTGGTCCGTATTTTTCAATATTAAACATTTTTTCTTTATTTCGATGAGTGGAACTGTTATAGTTTCTGCCGCAGTTGTGCTTAAAATTATAAATATATCCAACTCTTCCGAAGTACATGGAACAGTGAAAAAAGATTTTATATTTAAAAAACGTTTCGCATGAAAAAATATGCTGTTCTCATTAATTATATCTAAAATAAAAATTAAAGAATTATCATTAAGCAAAGCACACTTGTCAATTTCAGTTAATGCAATTTTAAAGTTTTCATATTGAACTTAAGACATTTTTTTATTATTTGTGTAAATGACAGATGGATAATTTATTACAGAGTGCTGTATAATTTCTTGTTGAGATACTTCAAATATGAGATTTGATAATTCTTGTAACGGTTTTCCACAATTATGCAATTTTCTTTTTAATTTTTGCATATGATTTTCGAACTTAAAGCAACTGAAATTATCAAGACACCCAAAAATTTTTACATCATTAGCAATATGAATAAGATTATGAACATTGTGTGATATATATTCTTCTCCGTAAATAACTCCGTAATTGGATATAAACTATAATAATAATGAATAAGCATAAGCAAGATATTTCGTGCATAATTGCGGATTAACCATTATTCTTATCGCAATACTAAGGGAAAGGAAATGGTTATACCATAGCGGAGATAAGGTTGACTTCAAAATTACTATTCCAGTATATAACAAAAATTGGCGCAATTCCGTAGCTTTCCATCTATCAATATCGAGTAAAGTTCTAGGCTTTCTTGCAAATTCAGATGGAATGCAATATTTTATATTTATTAAATGTTGTGAAATTAAATTAATATTTTCTGCATTTAATCTGTTACTTTTATTTCCCCTAATCCACAATTGCAATAACCGTTTCGTAACACCCAAGCAAACAAGGTGCATATAATCAAGTGGGATTTGTGAAACCATCCCGATGGAAAGATTTTCCAATATAGAATCGCCTGTATGATGTTCAGTTTGACTTCGAGTTTTAAACGAGTTATCTGTACGTAACATAGTATTAGTTTCAAGGAAAATTACTCTATTGTTTAGAAGTCGCCTTCGTGAACACATTTAAAACACGAGAAATATCCTGTGTGACCCTTTGTGCATGTTATGAATGATTTAGCTGGAGCATCACACAATATTACGTTTAATACTCACTTTATATTTATTATTATGAACAATTATACCACTTTTGGATAAGAATAAAAATTCATCAACAAAATTGGTGAGGAAATCATTTACGTTGCTTGGTTTACACATACCGTGATATACACCAATTACAAATGGCAATGTATGAATACCAATATCTTCAATCGATCCCATTATGGGCCAGAATTGGCTAGTAGAACTCTTCGAAATTGGCAAGCCATCTATATTTATGTTTATTTTAATTTCACTTGTCTTAATAAACTTGGAATATATTTCTATGGATCGAGCTAAAGCTGAAGTAAGACTAAAATGTATATAATGACCATTACCAATGCATTTAATATTTACAGATGCATGGCGTATGAAGTAAAACCCTAACATCACTAGGCAATTCTATATGACCATGTTTTTTTAATATTGCAAGTAACTCATTAGCAGTACTGTGAGGGATGTTACGTTGTATAATTAACTTTTGTAAGTCTTTACGTAAGCTTTGCTCTTTGCTGCTCTCAGAAATATTGGTTAATATAGATATATTTTCTTGTGATTCAGGAATATATTCTTCATCACGTTCATATTGCAACTCTACTGATAATTTCTCCGATTGCTTTGTATCTTTAAGTGATATACAGCGTGGTTCGTATGCCAATACCGCGTAATGTATGACGATTTCGGGGAACCATCCGAACGGCGCGAGGGAACCCTGCGCGATTCTTGGTCGCCAAGGATCACCGGTGAAACGGATCCTACGCTCCGGTTGGACAGTTCCCCGAAATTGTCATACAACGACTTACGAACCGATCGGTCGGGCTTCCGCGCGGCTGTCTCGTTCTCCGTGTCGCGGCGCGAAGCGAAGATCTCTCAGCGTCGAACGCGTTTCTCCAGAGTCATCGTCGTTCGTCCAATCGACACGACGAGTCGCGTTGATTCAAACGCGAGGTGAGATCCTGTACTCTGTTGGGCATGGGAAGTCCGTGCGATATTCGATCGGGAGCTGAGCGGACGAAAAAAAGCAAACTTCGAGAATTATCACGCGGCAGTCGTCCGAATCGAACGCTAGCGCGACATCCGTTCGCTTTCCTCCCGAATCCCGTCGACGGTCCGGCTGTCTCTGGTCATTCTCTATCTCGGAGCGGAGGGGGGGGGGGGGGGGAAGAGAGCGAACGAACGGAGCGATTTCGTTCGAACAGAGTCGGGTCCTCGGGAGTCGCGCGCGATCGTTCTCGTACGTACCCTGCGTGGACGTGACGTCCTGAACCTGCACCAATCGACCTCGCACATCGTAAAAACCTACTTTGCCCGCACGGTCACCTTCCACTCGAAGCAGTCGTCGATCGGTCAACGCTAGATTGTCCAGCGAACGAGCCTGAATATCGTAGTTACTGGCGTATTGATGCAAGTGTTCCATAGTTCGAATACGATCGCTTTCACGCGCCATTGCACCGGCGACGTTGCGAACATCGTTGTTGAGATTCATACCAATGGTGGACGACACGTCGCTACGAAGTGCGAGAAGAGTCATGCGTCGCGACTTTGTGATCAGTGAGGACGATGTGAAGGGGCCCCCCATTTATACCTAGCGCGTCCGCGATTTCGCAAATTCACGTTCTTCTCGTTGACGCAACAGCAAACGAGAAAAAAAGCGCGCGCGAAACGGTCCGTGGCGAACGATCGATTATTCGGCAATGGTGCGATCGGACGACTCGTACCTGCGCTGTTCCAGCTGCGGAGTAACGTTGTCGTGCAACCTCGTGGTGCTGGACGACGTTGAGTCCGGACGCGACGGAGCTGTGAACACGATCTCGTGGATACGCTCGCCTTTGGACGAACGAAACGCCGCGACTACGAACGATCCGCGATGGCGCGGCCGCGCGATACTGCTGCTCGTGCGAGACGTTTTTCGCAAGGATCGCGTCGCTCTGACCGACGCGCTGTCGGCTCTTTTACGCATTAGCGACGGAACGATCGGACATCGCGCTCTCTATCACGACGACGACGATTCGATCGATCCGAATCGCCAGCGACGCGCTCTACGTCGACTCGACCGACACGGCGTTCTTACTGCGCGATCCCGCTCGCTCCAGCGACATCGTCTGAACTCCTGC